AAGCTGATGTAGATTGTGTTGTATTATGAATGGGTTATATACACAGAAGTGTTGTTCAGCCACTGAAATCATCCAGCAAAAAATTGATGTGACTGTTTTCAATTTCATAAAGGCCTTTTACAGCATCGATAATGTAGATCAGGGATGTCAAACTCAAATCCTGAAGGGCCACAGCCCTGCACAGTTTAGTTCCAACCCTAATTAAACACACCTGATCAAACTAACTGAGTCCTTTAGGCTTATGTGAAACCTACAGGTAAGTGTGTTGGAGCAGAGTTGGAACTAAACTGTGCAGCGCTGCGGCCCAGCAGGAATTGGGTTTGACATCCCTGATGTAAATGGTTATTTAGTTTAACAACAACATAAGTAAACAGCGCTTTTCTGCTTTCTAACTGGGGATTTACATGATTTAGTAGGTTTCTGTCATCTCTGATGTGCGCGTTTGCGATTTTGGGAGGCGTGGCTTTGGATGGCAGGGGAGGTATTGTATTTGAGAGATATTATGCTAACTAGTTAGCATTTAGGCAAATATCCTACTGCGCCTTTAATTAAATGGTAATAATTAAATAGTTTCTCAGTACTGGGTTGCAGATGGAAGTGTATCCGCTGTGCAAAACATATGCTGGTGAATGACCCCTGATGAATAAAAGGAAAAAGCTGAAGGAAAATAAATAAAGGAATAATTAAATAGAATAAAATAAGACCTATTATAATGAACTAATGTGGCATGTTAGTTAACCATACTTTAATTGAAAACAGTGAATAAAACATAATAAAATTAAATAAGATTGTAAAAATACACTGTAAAATATATGTATAAGTATTATATATTTTCCATTTATTTACGCTATTGAATTGCATTATGGGATCTTAATTTTTAATAATATTGTTTTATTTTGCATATTCAATAGTTTGAAATAATTTTTTATCTGTAAATTACATTTAAAAAACGCCTGGCAATAATGTTAATAAACTTATTTCTTTATACATATATATTACGTTTAGGAATGTGCTGAAAAAAAATCTTCTCTCCATTAAACAGAAATTGGGGGAAAAAATTAATAGGGGAGCTAATAATTCTGATTTCAACTGTGTTTCTTATACAATATATAGTTTAAAACTTCGATAAAAACACTTTGTTAAGCTGCAGAGTTGAATTTTCAAGATCAAAAGTCGAAAGAGCAGAGATCAAAGTCCCATAACGCAATTTATAACCATAAATACAAAGGAAACGCTTATAAATAACAAAGTACAGAAACTTTTAAATAACATATTTTTTAGTGCGTACATACATTTGAACTTGTTTTAAATGTAAGATTTCCTATTTTCATTGAAGTGAAATTTAAATAAAATAAAGCTAATTAATAATGTTTAATCAAATACAAAAGAGTATCTCGCGGATACAAAAATAGCACTGGTTCAATGATAATAATCAGCATCTATTTATTAAATATCTCTGTCACATGACGTGAGAAAGACTCTTATCTGTGTCATAATTTCGGCATCTGAAAGATGTGCAATTTCGTCAGAGGCTCTTGTGTGTGTATGTGTGACTCAGTGTCTGTATCGTGCGGTGTGGTCCAGTCATGGGTATGTGTTTGGGGTGTAGAGTGGTAAATGGTATCTGAAGAAAACAAGTACTGCTGGTTCGCACTACATAATAAGGCCCTTTGCATAATTATATTTTTATCTCTCAATGTCAAGGTGTCAAGAGTGCTCTGTGCATGCCCATGTATGTGTGCGTTCAGCCACTCGAGTGCTGGTGTTTGAAAGAACTTTTGTAGCTGCGTTTGAGTTTGTCCCTTCTTTCCTTTTCTACCTTTGTTCGCCTGTCATCTCGCTCAATACCTCAGTGACTCCTTGCTCTCAATCATTCTCTGTTCCTGTGACTCTCTCTCATTCTCACTCCTTCAATCTCACCAATATGCCCTGGGGTTGAAATATCTAAGTGCACACGAAACAAGTTCAGACAAAACCAGAGAGACAGAATAGTGTTAAGGAGGTAAAGACTGGGAGTGAATGACACTAAATGCCAAGAGGGAGGAACAGCGTCAGGAGAGGACAGGAGCAAAGATATGAGGGGGTCGGACTGTGTTTTAGACCTCATTGAGTTTTGTGTTTGTATGTGTGTGTGTGTGTGTGTGTGTGTGTGTGTGCTCACCTGTGTTTTGTGTGTGTTAAATATGAAGTTCCCCGTTCCTCATTTGAAAACCTCTTTTCTGTACCCCGCTCTTTCTCTTATTCTCTCCCCCATCTCTCTCATCCCCTAACTCTTTCAGGGACAGTCTCACAGGGGCAGGGTTGTAACAGAACACTTCTCCCTTTTGTTTCCTTTCTTTTCCTTATCCTTTCATCTTTTAAACTTTCTGGGGAAATGGGTTTTGGTGGGATGGAAATTTCTGCTGGGTGAAAGGAGGAAAGAGGAGGGGAGAACGAAAAGATGGAGAACGAGAGAAGGCAATATACATCTCCATAAAACTAAGGGCTAGTTGGCTGTAGATTCTGAAAATAAAATCTCCAGAGGAAATTGCTTTAACAAATTGCCCCCTAATTTGAGAGCTAGTCACAAACTCCAAGCAGTTCAGACCACCATAAATGAAAATTCTGCTGTTTCAATGTTTCATTACAGTTACTAACAACTTAAAGGCTATAAGGTACATGAGGGACTTTCTGAAAAGCTTAATGTGGCTTAATGTACCTAAACATCAACCAGAGAAACCCTAATTTCTGTCAAATTGTATTTGTAATTAACAGTGACTACTGTAAAAATAACAAGTCCCAATTCCATAGACAAAGTGAAAAACATCACATTAAGCTTTTTCTTCCCCATTGAAGTCTATTATAAGGAAAATTATTAACGTGGCTTAGTGTACCTGAACAACCAGCGGGGAAAATCTAATTTATATCCAATTTTAATTGGGATTAGCACTAACTACTAGCAAAAGAAAGAGGCCTGTTTCCACAGCAAAAGGGAACAGCTAAAGTTTGTCAAGTGTTTTCCCCTGTGTTGTTGTAGGGATGTCAATGACATGCACAAGCACGTTCTTTTAACAGCAAGGGTTAATCTATTATAAATAAGATTTGATTTTATGAACAGTCTTTTTAACATTTGGTTTGCCTCGGTTGTTGTAAAGTTATGTTAAGATGTTAAGCCTTTCCTTATTATGGACGCCAGTAGGGGAGAAAACGCTTAACGTGATATTGTTCACTTTATCTATAGAGGGCTTGTTCTTTTGACAATAGTTATTGTTAATCACAAGTAAAGTTTACTAGAAATTTGGGTTTCCCTGAACGGCGTTAGGGTACATTAAGCCACGTTAAGCTGTTTCCTTATAATGGACTTCTATAGGGAGAATGCTTAAAGAGATATTGTTCACTTGATACACTAAAATTAAAAGTGTTTATGAGTATATTTTTATGGACATTTGATTATCTCTGAATGTCAAGTTTAACCACATTAAGCTCTTATAATGGACTTCAATGGGGATTAAATGCTTAATGTGACATTGTTCACTTCGTCCACAGAATCAGGCCTTGATCTTTTGCTAGTAGTAAGTGTTGATTACAAGTAAAATTTCATAGATTTTTGGTGTGCCCCACTTGTTGAGGTTAAGCTTTTTCTTTTATAATGGACTTAAAATGCATAATGAGAAAATTTTCACTCACTCAAATTAGAGCTCAGTCTTTTGACATCAGAAAGTGTTTGTCATGGGTACAATTTTATAGATATTTGATTTTCCCCGCTTGTTGTTAGGGTACATTAAGCCACGTTAAGCTTTTTCCTTATAATAGACTTCAATGAGGAAGAAAACGCTTAATGTGCTGTTTTTCACATTATCTATGGAATTGGGACTCATTCTTTTTACAGTAGTTGGGGTTAATTACAAGTACATTTTGACAGAAATTTGGGTTTCCCTGGTCAGTGTTAAGCCATGTTAAGCTTCGTTAGTTTCCTTTTAATGGACTTCTATAGGGAGAATGCTTAAAGTGATATTGTTCACTTAATACACTAAAAATAAAAGCAGAAAGTGTTTATGCGTATATAGACATTTGATTATCTCTGATTATCTCCTTAACGTGACATTGTTTATGTCATTCACAAAATCACAGCTTGATCATGAAAATTTTTACTCACTAAAATCAAGTACATTAAGCCACGCTAAGTTTTTCCTTATAATAGACTTCAATGGGGAAGAAAAGCTTAATGTTGTGTTTTTCACTTTGTCTATGGATGTAGGACTCTTTCTTTTTACAGTCACTGTTAATTAAAAATACAGTTTGAAAGAAATTAGTGTTTCTCTGGTTGATGTTTAGGTACATTAAGCCACGTTAAGCTTTTTCACGTTAAGCATAAAAAATGTTTTTTGTTATTTATTCACCCTTATATCATATCATCCATGATGTACAGTAGGTGACTTTTCTCTTCAGCAGAACATTATTAGTATTTTTCTTAAACCGTGACATATCAAAATAAATTAAATAACTACCAACTCTTTAAGAGTGTAAAAAACACAAAAGCAAAACAAATGTAACAACTGTGGCTCCTTGATGATAACACTAAGGTCTTGAGACGTGAAACAATTAGTCTGTGCACAAAACTGAACATGACATTATTACCTTTAATAAACAGCTTCAGCAATCGGTCTGCGTCTTCAAGTCTGGAGCACAAGCTTCTTGTTGCATTTGATGTTTATAGACACAAACTTGTCTGTGCCAACATCTTGGAAGCCCTGAAGGTGAATAAATAAACAGCAAATATTTATTTTGGGATTAACCTTCCCTTTAATGTTTCCTTGCAGTCATCAACAACTAAAAGGTCATTGGGTGTATGGTGCACTTGTTTGGGGGTGATTAGTTTGAACTTAAACTTAGTTAACTGACAACAAATCACCTCCCAAGGCAGTCCATCCATTAAATTTAAACCATTTGCACTCTTTTTTTGTGTTTTTCATTATGAGAACTCTGTACACCCACCGCTAGCAGATGGTCCTCGTCCTTTTTTTCCTCCACCATAATGTCTTCTTTCACTCTGTCCATTCCTCTTCTACTAAACCAGCCCTCTTTCACTCCCACTGGCTGTGTTGTCCCCCTCACCGCCTTTCATGAAGATACCTTACCGCACGACTTCAGCACTCAGACCTCGCCGCGGGAATTTCTGCATCCACTAAACGAAACATTTCAACTTTTCTTTCATATTAAGCGTCTCTCGTTTACAGCTCGGCTTGGCAGCTGAAAAAGTGGAGTTCAGGCTCATACACGCTGTGTCAGAGGTGTATTATTGCTCTGGTTGTTCACCACTTGCATGTCAATCTTCCAGAAAGTCGCGCGCGAGGACTGACTTGAGATTATTAGGCGCTTGTTTAACAGATAACCGTGGAAATACAACTCGACGTGGACCTCCTGAAAGTGGACTTCGGAGATGATATGAGAGTCCTCTGCGGTTTAAACCATGTGAAGCGGGAGCTGTTGTGGAAATTTCGTTGATTATTGAGTGAGACTGACGGACTGTTGAATCAATGTGGTGTTTGCCGAAGTTACGTGTGGCCCGAAACTCACCTCAACGGTAGGTGTTCCGTGTTATAATTAGCCGAAGTATCTTGGTGTAATACAGGTGTATTACAGACACATATTCATACGCTTCCGATGCTGATAACAATCTAAAGTGGTGTAATGACAGATGGAGTTTTATCGTAACAGTTAATTTAATGTGAGGATCGGAGTCGTTGACAGGTTGTCAAGCGTCGAAATTAGCGAACTGAATCGGAATGTGAATCGATTCTTGAATCGATTCGTTCACTAAGTGGACTGAATTCTGTCCGAGTACAAGACACAGAACTGAGAGCTGGACTTTTGATAGCATATTATTAAGACATGCTGTACAGTCAGGTAATGTACATTAATTTCAGCATTGTATATTTCAAAATAGCTCACTATAAGGCAAATTACTTTGTTTTAGTTAACTTTAGCTGAATCATGGCTTCTACAAACACATTATACATCCAAACTAAAAGAAAGGGTTCAATTGTAGAAGAGACACTATACAACAATAGGGCTTTCCTGGTTAAATAAATACAAGAATGAATAAATAAATAAACAAACAAACAAACAAATATGCCAAATGTATAAATAAATAAAGCATGTATTTGCATACGAACACATCAATAACAGCCATTAAACATGATGAATCGTTTTAGAATCAAATCGACTCTTGGAAACAGGTTTGACTTAGGTCTCTTAATTCTCAAAAGAGTTGACTACAAAACTATTTTGGCTAAAGATCAAATATGGTATTTTTTAAAACTAGCCTCTAGCGACTCGACAAAATGGATGTGTGCTGTAACGTTAGTCCAAATAATGCTGTCCCGAACGCGGACTCGCTGAAACTTGCGTCGACTGTCAGTTCAGATGTTGACCAGGTGTTTACTTTCCGCGGTCAGCAATTACTGTTCACTTTTGTTTACCTGCACACCTCAGAAGGAGGTCCAACCTGCTGTTACAAATACACAGTTGTAGGTGTGTTTTGTTTATGTTTTAGCATGACTCTGTCATCCGAATGAATGGTAGATTCAACAATCCATATCGCCGAATAATCTTATATTGTCATTCGAATGAATGGTAGATTCAATAATTAATATCGTTTAAGAATATAATATTTAAGAGGTTATCCTATGGTGGAAGTGTGAAAAAACACACCTATCTACATAAGAGAGTAATAATGTGTAAGTGTTTACACAGTAAAGGAGTTTTGGCTCGGAGCAGCCATTTAGAATAATAATTAACACATGCACATCAGTCACCTGCCCAGATAGCCTATAAAAACAGAAACACAAACAGAAGCTCACAACCTTTGTTTACTGTATAATGAATGTTTATGTAACTGTTTTCTCACCCCTGTAACACATCGCTGTGTGGGGGTAAGGCTTTTGACAAACAATACAGGAAAATAAACCTACAGGTATTCAGTCAAACGTGAACCTTTCTTCCAATTATTCAGACAAGGACTGAAGTAGACAGGTTTTTCTCAGAAGGAAAAGGTGGATGGAGATACTCTCAAAGTGTAAGAGTTTGTCACCCAGTGTGTGGTTGCCATTTTCAGATGTTTAAGTTTAAGCAGCTGGCTTTTCAACAGCAGCACAGCGCCTCTGACCAGAAACATCTGATGTTTTTGTACATGATTAAGAGACGAAAATGATTTAATGAAAAAGAGGAGGATCAGTGATGTTTGTCTTGGAATAATATCCCCTGCCAGACAAGATATGTTTTTATTTTTTACCCAGAGGGAATTTTGCTACATCATTTTTAATACTCTCTTTTAAATTAATTAAATGAGAGATTTTAGGCTAATTGTAATTCATAATGATAAAAAAAATAATAATTATTTAGTCTTACATGACCATTGCCCACTATCTCTCTGACCTTTTATCTCTTTACTTTTTAGGGTACATCTAGACAGAGATTCTAGATACAATTGGAAACATTTTAATGTGTTTTAGCTGTTCATTTACATAAAATTTACATCATTGTACCATTTAGCTTCTCAGTGTAAACTGCAATGCAGAAAACAGTGACATTCATAAATTTCATGTTCAGTTTATAGATGTAGATGTTTATAGATGTTCAGTTTATAGATATATGTCAAATCAACAATAGTGGAATCCATGACTACCACTGCATTCCATTTGGAAGAGCTCATCCCTCTGACCTAACCCATTAGAAAGGTATAAATGTGTGACACCAAAGAACTCCACAGGGACCTGAAGTGTTAATCAGTTGTGCTCTTTGAAATCCTTTAATTCTGAAGTGCCCTTAGAAGTGGCCAGTTTTATACATTTTGAATTGGAATGACACTTCAATATGGTGCCCACAGGTGTTTTCACTCTGAGGTGCACTTTCGAAGGTGATACATATACCATTTGAACACACACTATATTTTTGCAGATGTGTGTGGTTTTTTTAACAAAGTGAAAGTGCCAATGACTCGCCTGGAATGCATAACATAGCATTTTTTGTTGTGTTCAGAAATACTTTTTTTTTAACTATAAGGAAAACCATTCTGTTGTTGAAAAAAAACATTTTTGTTGTTGTCTTAACTTACCGAAAACACTTCAAATTAAACTTTCCATATCCAAATACATGTTATAGTTTGAGGAATTGCCCTATCCTTCCTCACTCACTTTCCTTCGGTTTAGTCTCTGATTCATCAGGGGTCACCACAGCGCAATGAACTGACACTTACTCTGGCATTTGTGTTTTATGCAGATTCCTTTCAACTGTAACCCAACACTCAGAGTACACTAACTAATGAATCTCCAGTGCTGTGAAACACCCATACACACATTCACACTCATACACTACGGCCAATCTAGTTCATCCAATTCTCCCATACTGCATGTCTTTGGACTGAGGTGGAAACCGGAGCACCCAGAGAAAACCCAATCAAACATGAGGAAGCATGCAAACTCTCTGCAGAAAGGCCATCTGGCCCAGCCAGAACTCAAACCAGCGACCTCTTGTTGTGAGGCAACAGTGCTAACCACTGAACCCCTGTGTCGTCCTGCCACATTCTTTAGTTAAAAAAAGTCAGCACCAATAGCCTAATGGTTAGTGTGTTAACACAAAGCACCAAAGTGCTCACAGTGACACAAGTTTTACTCCCAGCGCAAAGTCTTGTGCCGAGCCTTTCCCTCTCTCTGCTTCCCTCACTTTACTGTTAAGAATTCAATTAAATTCATCTTTATTTCTATAGCACTTTTACTATATAAATTGTGTCAAAGCAGCTTCACATAGAAGATTGTAGTGAACTGAATGTTCTTATAGTTTAAAATCAGTTTAGTTCAGTTCAATGTGTTTTAATATTCACTGCTGAGAGTCCAAACACTGAAAAGTAATCCATCGATGTGCAGCTCTACAAGTCTCGAACTATGCAAGCTAGTGGCGAAAGCATTTTACCATAACCTCCACTGTCCTGTGCATTATAGGTGAAAACCCCAAATCCTCTTTACCATTTTTAAAGATTTACTTCTTTGGCATTTTGCCTTTATTTGAAATGACATTAAATCTAAGAGAGAAGGGGACAGTATCGAAAAAAGTCCATGAGCCAGGAATCGAACTTGAGTCGTTTAGATCAATGGTGCACTATAGCGCCGATAAATCCTCTTTGCTATTTTACTGGTATTAGACCAGACAGATTGCAAACACTGAATGATGATGTGCAAATCTAGTCAGACATCTAATTAAAGAAGCAAAGAAAAAAATCTGGAATCTGAATGTTATTACTAGACAGTAAGGATGACCAGATCTGATCGCTTGATCGGAAATAGGGCCGAATACGCGGTTTCAGACTTGACCGGAATCAGACGTTACCTCCCAATCAGGACTCGAATATATATCTATACATGTATACATTCTCATTATTTTTTAACACATCTATAGTTATTCAGTGGCAGAGTTCCTGTTTCCAGAGACCTCTCTCTTGACTTCACACAAAAAACAGCAACGCGTGCGGCATGACATCATATTGTTGCAGAGACCCTATTGGTTAAATGCCGGCAAAGTAGAACATGTCTGCGGTCTGGCGGGTATTATAAAGTTGATGACGACAGCATTGCCATAGCAAACTGTGAAATATGTAAATTTGGGATTGCCTGCCGGGTATTTTAAGTAGAGGTGCTATTTGTTTTTATATTAGATAAATATTATATTTATTGTTGCACTAAAGTGCAAAAGTAAAAAAAATGTATGTTATTTATTACTTGATTGTTCAAGCCACCTCAAAGAAGGGCTCTGTTTGTTAACAGTTGTTGAATGATTAAATAAGGTCAATCAAATTAAAAACAAGCAACATCCTGGATCTCTTTCTTCGCTCTTCTTTATTTTATGTATTATAGAAATATGGGACTGGGTTTCGGTATCGGTAGATACTTAAAATCAAATGACACGGAATCGAGGGCAAAAACACCTGATCAGGAAATCCCTAGACAGTTTTATTCATTCATTCATTTTCTTGTCGGCTTAGTCCCTTTATTAATCTGGGGTCACCACAGCGGAATGAACCGCCAACTTATCCAGCAAGTTTTTATGCAGCGGTTGCCCCTTCCAGCTGTAACCCATCTCTGGGAAATGTCCACACACACACTCATACACTACAGACAATTTAGCCCACGCGAAAGCAGGGAGAACATGCAAACTCCACACAGAAACACCAACTGAGCCGAGGCTCGAACCAGCGACCCAGCGACCTTCTTGCTGTGAGGCGACAGCACTACCTACTGCGCCACTGCTTCGCCCTAGACAGTTTTAATAATTAGTCATTTTTACTCTGGAAAAAAGTTATGAGTTATGAAAATAAAAACATATATTTTTATTTTATGAAAAGTCACTAAAGAGAAATGAATAAAGAAATGTAATAAAAGCTTTCACTAAAAGTTCTGAAAAAAGATTTTGTTGCAATATAGCACATTTACCACCATTACAAGCCTTTATATGGTGTTTTCTGTACAAATCTTTGTGTCTCCATTTGAGAGCCAGTGCGCTGCGTTGGATGCTTATGGCCGAGTGTATAGG